CGCGTAACGCCGCGCAATGAAAGTTCATCGGGTTGATCGTTCGTAAACAGCGGTCGCGTTCTCGAGATCGGGCAACGATGGCGATCCGCGCGCTACAGAATACATCGACAATTTTTTTTGTCACAGAGATCCTCGATCAAAATTGTCAAAAGCATTGCGGTTTTAATTGTTGATTTGGTATATGAATTAAATGGTATTGTAATTATTAAATCTTTCACATCATTCGGGATTTTATCCTTCGCTGTTTTAGCATCTTTGCTCGCTGTATAATATCCGTAAAAAATCGACGGTATAACAAATATATATATTTTTAATACATTACAAATTGTCGGGTTATAATACTTTTCTCTCTTTCAAATAATACAAAAATTTATAAAACATATAACAGTGCTTCAAAATGTTTCTCAAACATGTTTGCATTATCCAAACTGACTTTAATTTAGCCAAGTAAAATTAATATCTCGATTAATTAGCTCTATCATTTTTCTACTAATATCTCGTTTTATAACAAAAAGAATACACACTATTATTAAATATATATATAATACATGAATTTGAAAAAGAAAGATCAATATGTCACTGATATATAGGTGCAGTACAAAGTAATAAAAAGTACGTATTTAATATTTCCCTCTCGTTATAATGGATTTGTATAATGGCCCATTATTTATTTCATAATATAGATACATGATGATCCCTTTACATCTTATCAATTAAGGGTTAACATGACGAATATAATCGAGCAATACTCAATATGAGTCAAATCATTCATAGTTACGCTCGCACGTTAATCGACCTAGTATCTCGAGCGCGACTTTCGCGTCCGATCTCGATGAGCGCGCACGGCCGACACTTGTTGCATTTTGATTAAAGCGGATGCAAGGAGGGAGCGGGGCGGGTGGGGGTGAGCGGAGGCCGCGAACCTCGCGCACCTCTGCGCCGAGCCCTTACGAACGACTAAAGGTATTCCACCGCTCTCTCACTTCTCGATGGAAAAAGTTTCGTCGACTACGAAAAATGAACAGAGGATATGCATTGTGTGCAATGTTCCCATGTTAACCGTCGTTAGATAGATAAGTTCCTGAAAATTACATCTGCACCGGCTCGATAGAACCGCACGCTTCTTTTTTTCTTCCTTATCTTTCTTATCTTTCTTTTCTTATTTTTTTTTTAAGTATTACTACACGTACGAGATTTACACAGGCGCGCGCGGCGGTCCGTCTGTCTCGTTTCGACGATCTCCGGCGAGTAACGCTTCATTCCGGCGATACGACACAGTCGCGCACGTGTATTCGACTCACCCTTTCTCTCATTATCTTTCTCTATTCTCAATATTTCTCCGACGGATATTTTACGCTTCCGTCTAAATCACTCCTCTTCCACTTCCATTATATGTATCATTCTTTCCCCCTTAGATAAAACTATCTTTTGCGTTTTCGTATCACTTTCTTTCTTTCTCTCTCTCTTTCTCTCTTACACTTTTCTCTTTTGCTTTCTCCTCTCTCACCCTTCCTCCTTCTTATCTCGCATTTTTCTTTTGCGCATTAAAAAAGAATATAAAACTATCTATAAAAAGATTACGCAAAAATCCGTTGAGTTACCGACAAGCGCTGCGATTCGCATCCCCTTGCGGGATCGGCGGTTATTTCTTTGGAATTTCTTTCGTGTTTAAATGTGTGAGGAGAGTACACCTATATTTCGCAATTTTGATGAATATGGAGGAAAGCAGAAATGCGTTGCGCGGGGATCCGGCGTGTTTTTTATTTCGCGGTACTCGGTGTCTATCGAAACTTACGCGTTATATGTACGATGTTTATGTAAGACTATAAATTACGATATCTTATATATCAAATACGTCGAGCGCATCTCATCGAGTGTGTGCGTGTTATCCGGATACATTATGAGATACATCAAATCGCAACAAAAAAATTTTGTAAGTTAAAGAATATTTTGGTATCGCGAAACATGATCCTGCAAACATGACCCCCATCTTCATCTTTCTCTCTTTTTCTTTCTTTCTAACATATTTTCAATTTACTCGCTCATTTATCTGACAGTGCTCGCGTCCTTCTTATCCTTCCCTCTCTTTTTTTTTGCTTCGCACGTACACATATACATACGGGTACATAAACGCGCGCGCGCTCTCTTCTACTTGTATATATTCCTCTCATTACTCTCTCTCGCAAAATAACTTAATACCTATGTCCAATATATTAGATATTAAATAATAACCATATCATCAATATATTAATTTTAAATAATATGATTTCCAACAAATCGCTTTCTACACTCAACAAATAAAATCAACACGATTCGAAGAATTCCCATCGGAAATAATCACTTATCGATGATCTTGTAATAAATTTTGGTACGTCGCGATAATATTAATGATCTGCATACAAAAAGCTTCTCGTGATTTGCATTTTTGGCATTCTTTCTCTCTCTTTCTTTTCTCTCTTTCTCTCTACCGCGAGTACTGACTAATTGCTAATATATGGATTCTTTATAAACCAAGATTACATATACCTAAGTTATAGGCGATAATATACAACTACTAATTCCCTCTCATTATGGAATCTTAAAAATCATTATAAATCAAAATAGACAAAGTAATCATAAAAAAATAGATCAAAACTGCACGTAGAAGTGACTCGCGGTGCGTGACAAATCTAAAACATAAACGTCCCTCCCTGGCGATTAATGTCTGTGCCTTCAGAATTCTTGAAAGGAGTTATCGTATTAAAAAAAAAGAGCAAACAAGGATCTCCTTGATAAGAACAGACGCAATGTACTACTTAGAAATGGCTCGAACCGCGATTTTTCTCTTCAAGAATGCTTTGATCAACACTTGTTCACGATATTAAATACATCAAAAATATTTTTTTTATACCAATATTTTTCGCTTTTTCAATTGAAATACAAGATCTAGCGTAATACCCGTTCCTATATCAATAATAGATTTCTCAACATGAAGTTCTAAAACAAGATATTTAAAGTATTGTTATAAATGGCGACCCGTCACCTGCAAATATAATCTAATTTTTCAGATCGGATCGAGCCATTTCTAATCTTGAAAAAATATTTTGTCTTCTGCACTGTTAGTAAAAATGCATCTTATCCATTACAATGATTACGTTCACGAAGATGACATATGTGCGCGAATCGGGTTTCGGAGAGAAGTCGCATCCCCGAGATAGATGCAAACACAGTATGGTAAAATGGAAGTGTAATGTCGCACGCGCTTGATGTTCATTCCCCTCATACGAGACTTTCGTAAACACTCGATCGAGAATTCGATAGAGCATTTATACATATATATATATATCTCGCTGTCCGTGCTAAATAATTTCGCAATCTCATCCCTGCTTTTGATTCCTTATCATTGAAACTGTTCGTAGGTTCCCTTCAAGTTAAGGCGCCGTGACGCACGCTGACGTGACAGCATTTGTACCTCCTATGTGAAAAATATTCATTTAAGTGTTGTGTAAAATGCTATCTCACAAAAAATATGATTCTCTCTATAAAATTGTCAAATTCCACTAACTCTCGCCTAGAAACAGCTTATACACATTATCGAAATACGTTGGCTCAGCATTCGTGTCGGCGGGAAGCGTATAGTGCAGGCGCGATCGCGGTCGAAGGTTCGCAGTCGCCTGCGAGAGGAACATACGGATAATGCCACTCTTGGAAAAAATCGTCCGAAACTTGTAATTGATCTATACATGTTTCGGATCAGACGAGAGTGCGCTCGGCGCGCCTTCTCGCGCTTGATCCATCGACACGAATTCGATGCAACGTCTATCACCAGAATTAATGAACGATTCATCATGATTTCTATGGTATCGCAGACGAGCAGGATAGAAAGACGGATTAATACAAACGACGATAAGAGTAACCTCACGA